AAACGGGCCTTTAAACACCGTAGATAGGCATTTGTGGGCGATTGGCCAAAGGAGGTTTAGATTTTAAATATTTAAATATAGGCCAATTTAGGTTTTATTTTATTTCATTTAGCAAGAAGTCTAGTATTAACTGGCTTTCGAACCCACGTGACCAACGGATTTAATATTAACATAATCCCCCAAGACGGATCATCGAAGCCAGCTCTGTAAGATTTTGATTTTCCGTAAAACTAAAGGTCTGCAGTATCGCAATCACGAACTTTTTTTTAAGGGGTTATTAATTTGGCTTGATATTTTTTGTTTACATTAAGGCCGGCTACAAGGTTAAGGAGAACGTTTTCTAATATGGCATTTACTGTCGTTTGTAGTGTTATTTTTGGGGGGTGGGGGGTGAAGCAACTTATCATAATATCGATGCATGTGCAGTAGAGGCAATACCAGAAAGTTTCGTTGAATAATTTAGACATGTTCTGTCTACTTATTTTCAATTGGATCCTTTCTTATCCATGGATAAGCTTTTTGGTATCGTTATTTCTTAAAAACTCTCCACAACCAACTCTAGTTACCTCCCCTTAAACGGTGTCAGCGATCGCGCACTGACTCAGCGTTCCAACTCCACACGTAAGAAAATTAAATTTTAAATGAATATAATTTTGTCTTCGACAATAATGAATACTCCAATATTTGTCTTGTAATAAACAATACCCTGATGATTCATTGTGATATGTCGATAGTACTCGGAATAAAAGAAATATGTATCAACACGGCGACTTTCTTTCGGCCTTCAATATATATATATATATATATATATATATATATATATATATATATATACAGTGTAACCCGGATATAAGAGAGTTGTCGGGACCGGAGAAGAAGTCTCTTAGATCCGGGTTTCTCTTATATCCGGGTTTGGTCTATTTTATATACATTAACACAGGCTCTAATTTGGGACCAGATAAAATCTCTCTTATATCCGAGTTTCTCTTATATCAGGGTCTCTTATATCCGGGTCTCTTATATCCGGGTTACACTGTGTATATATATATATATATATATATATATATATATATATATATATATATATGTGTAAAAAGAAGAGGTTATAGTACTTCCAACGTGAGAAAAGTGTGTATATTAAAAAGAAGAGAGAAACTACAAACGTTTTTGGCTGTAGTATGAATTTAAAAAAAAATATGTATATTATGCTTTATTTTCCATAATTTTGCTACACGAGTTTCCGGTCTCGCGACATTCGTCAGGCAAAGAGTAGATATTTCCACATATTATTAAAAGGAATTAATTATGCTTTTCGATGTTAAATATTCTTAATATTAGACATTCTCTATTTTTTGTGTTAGTGACCTAAATGTCTTTCTTGAACTGGTAGTGAAAAAGTTCTGCGTACCAACGGGCCTCGGTAGCGAAGGAGTACAGTTGGTACGACGTTTGCCTGTCAATGTAACTGTCCGGGTTTCAATTCTCGGTAGTGGATGCGCACTGCTGATGAGTCCCAAATATAGGACGAGACGGCCGTCCAGTGCTTTATATATATATATATATATATATGTATATATATATATACAAGTATATGATTAGTGTATACGGAATGAATTCCAATAACCAACAATTACTATTCTTAAAAGAGTGCTCAATACAGAATAAATTGAATAACATGTCTTTTTTTCTTTTCTCCTCTGTAATTTTATAATTTTAAACTTAATAGAGATTAAATTTGGATTTTAAAATTGGTAATTTTTACTTTTAATTTTAATATCAAATTTTATCATATAATTTAATAATTATTGGTTAGAAAAAATTCTTTTTTTAATATTACCCCTATTTTAAAGATCTGAACAGCTATTATAACCATACTTCGTTGTCAAGCTTTTTTAATTTTCCTGTACTTGTATTTTGATTGGTCATTCTAGCTTTTTTAACAACGTTTTCCCCTTGCGAAGTATCGTTAATTAATTTAAAACTTTTAAAAGCATCTATTTTACATTCAACATCATCACTTGATAAGACACCGGAGGTGTTGAAACAAAATGGCTATTTTTGTAGTGATTTTATTACATATTTATGTTATAATTTTTAAATAAAAGTTCCATGCCTTTAAGCAATCGTCAGGCGGTTGGAAAGGCACGGTGGAGTAATGGATTGCGGCTTAGATTGAGAATTCGAAGTTGAATCCATTACATTCACTTACGTGCACCCTTGGGAAGGGTATGAATCCTCTTCTTCTTCTCCTCCCCTCAGCTATGGGTAAATAGCAGGACAGACCGGGTTCTATAGCCTTGGGTAGCAACTGGCCAGAAAGACATGGCAAACTACTGCGGGGAAAAAATCTGCCTCGTCAGTCATCTATCGAAAGATGCATTATCGTGTATCACGCATGGTACATAACTGACTGACAAGGCGGTCGACAGGTGTAATCCGAAAATGGAAGCTTTTATTACCCCAAACTAACATATATATATATATATATATATATATATATATATATAGTGTATTGGGGAATTATTCGAACATGGATATTTTTATTATTATGCTGCGAACCGAAAGCTTAAATCGAGAAACGGCATAATAAAAATACACCCTATCTAAATGTTGGACAGTTTTTGTCTTTATTTTCTCCCGGAATTAAAGCAACTATACAAAGCTTAGAACGGCTCATGATCAAACATAATAGATATTTGTTGTCTGTTATATTTAACATATATGTTTGAATATATGGTGAACTCTCCCGTCTTATTCGACGTATGAGGGTCAGTAACTCAGTTCCTAGGAACCGACATCCAGACAGACAGTTTTAATATATATATATATACCATTTTTAGGCATTTAAAACAACATGCCTGGCCGCATACACAATTCCGGAAAATCCTTGTTTAAAACACAACTATACTTAAACATGAAAACAATGAACAAAAACTAAAAATTCTTGAAGCTATATACATAAAACAGTTGAAACCTAACCTGAACAAAATAAACTATGAAATCTCCACAAATATTCTTAAATTCCTGTAATTGATAACAGAAGCCATTGGTTTATACCAATGGCTTCATATACTTAATACTTCTCGTGGTCATGTGTGATGTCATGAGCTGCGGCACGATTTTCGGTTCCAGCGACTCGTATGCACGAATTTGTCGTGGCTTGGAAATCTTCCATGCAAACAAAAACAGTCTATCATTATTGTTTTGTCCGTGTATTGGTTAATATATTGTAATGTAATTGTCATCTTTGATAATGGCTATATGTAAGCCGAAAGCTTACATAGGATTAAAAAACATGTATCAATATGGTGATTTTCTTTCATCTTTTAATGATAATATTATTAAGCTTATCAGACGATATGAATAACATAATATTTACATAAAATAGACAAAACTTGTCTATATTATTTAATGAAACATGCATCAATGAAAAAATGCTGCCTAAATACACACAATATATATATATATATATATATATATATATATATATATATATATATATATATATATATATAATGGACTTTCCGTCGGTTTCGACGTATGAGGATCTGACAGCTTATTGATTCAGTTATGATAGTTTGTGCGATAATCTTAAGTGGCATTTAAGACCCGCTAGTGATTTACAAAGGAGGCCACATATGGAGCAAGTGTGAGGATTGTGAGATGAGATCACTGTTAGATTGGCTGACCTTTTAGATCTTGCTCTCGCTTCTTGAAGATGATTCAGACAAGCAGATTGAAAATTGCTGAGTCCACTAAAACACGTTGATCTTTATTCTACCCGCTCCAAAGCTAAGCGCTCAAGGGTGTTATGTGGTATATATATATATATATATATATATATATATATATATATATATATATATATATATATATATATATCAAAAGTGATGGAGAGAAAAGAAAAAGAATACAGACGATTTCGGCTAGATTGAAAAATAAAATATTCTTTCAAAAAATTTTGAAACTACCAGAGTCTCTCGTTTCGTGCGCATGTGTAGATGTGGCAACGTCAAAAAAGCCCAGTCCGATGAAATCCTAACGGATGAAACGCGTCACAAAAAAACCTTTGCAGATCGTCATATTTTTCTAAATATATCTTCTATGATATTGTTGTCCAAAATAACCGCCATTGAACGTACACCCTGCAGAATGGATGTATATTTTTCTAAATTTTTGCCATTTTTATCATTCTGACTTTCTTCTGTTCTTTGTTCTTGCGATCTTTTTTTGTTCTGGATTTCTTGCTGATCTCTGTTCTTGCGCTGGGCTGGGTGGATAAACTACATCTTTTTTTTTCTTTTTTTTTTTTGTAATGAACGGATTTCAGCGCCAAAAATATTCAAGAATCCAAAACGAGGCTTCATAATTTAAAGTCTTGCTCGAACTTCAAACCGCTTGCCGATTAACGGTAATTTCCTGACGACTTAGCCAAATTTTGAAGTGCTAATATTTTTCATCGTTATTACTGTTGTATAAAGTTTAGTTTCTCCAGGTGCACGAAGATAGAGATCAATACACAAAATCAATACACCAATCTATTCAAACATATCATTTTTCAGATTTGTTTGGGGATATATTGTACAACGTTTGTATGGTGTAAAGGCGTTTTTTTTCTCTAATCGATAAACTCGAATATGTGTTTTACGCGTAGAGAGATTTGTAAAGCAAATGATTCACTTGCCTCGTGTAAGGCTTGGCTTAATGGTAGAGTGCACCTCAATGAACTTTGGGATTCTATCCAAAGCTTGCCAAGGCTTCTTGATTCCGGTTTATTTAGAAGTTAACTTAAATTCAAACGACAAGAAATTCTCTTTTCTCTTTTCTCTCTCTCTTCTCTCTGTACTTGGCCAGTGACAATATCAATCTTTCTTCTTCTACTGGTCAATCAAATTCTCTTTTCCTCTATCTTTCCATCTCTCTCTCTCTCTCTCTCTCTCTCTCTCTAACTTCCTCTTTCGCACGCTCTCTCTTTCCTTCTTTCTTCTCTTACCTATAAGTCAAACATTCTCTTTCTTTGTCTTCCTTATATCGCTCAATCAAAAACATTTCTCTCACTCTTTCTCTCTTCAGGGCAATCAAAATTTCTCTCTCTCTCTCTCTCTCTCTTTCTCTCTCTCTCTCTCCTGTTAAACACTCTTTCTCTGTCTTTCTCATAGCGCTCAATCAACATTACTTTTACTTTCTCAATTCCTCCCTTCCCTCCCGATTGGTCAATCAAAATCTCTCTAATTTTGCTCGATCAGTACTACTCTCTCTGTCTCTCTCTTTCATTATCTCCTCTAAATTAAAGTCACTCACTAACTCACTCTCTTTCCCCCCTCTCTCTCTCTCTCTCTCTCTATCTATCTATCTATCTCTTTGTCTCTTCTCACCACCAATAAATCAAAATGTCTCTCTCTCTGTCTATCTCTCTCTCTCTTTTCCTTCTCTTACCGGTGAGTGAAACACTCTCTCTCTCTCTCTCTCTTTTCCTTCCCTTACCGGTGAGTGAAACACACACACTCTCTCTCTCTCTCTGTGTGTCTTCCTCATATCGCTCAATCAACATCATTTTTTTCTTCTCTCTATTCCCCGTTTGGGCAATCAAAATCTCCCCCCTCCTCTCTCTCTCTCTCTGTCTCTCTGTCTATCTCTCTTATTCACGCTCAATCAGCACTACTCTCTCTCTCTCTTTCTTATTCCCCCATAACGGTCAATCAAAACCACTCACTTTTTCTCTGTCTCTCTCTCTCTCTTTCTCTCTTTCTGATTCTTCCCGCTAATAAATCAAAATATCTCTCTTTCTCCCTCTTCTCCTACAATGATTACGCTATCTCGTTCCTTACCACTCAGTCAGTATTACTTCTTCCCCTCACTAATCAATCACTCCTCATCATTCCGCACTCACTCTCTCCTACCGATCAGTTAATGTCTCTCTTCCCCTTGAACATGCAACTGGTCATTCAGAAACTTACTATTGGTAGCACAAGATACATTCATGTCGGCTGACCACATTTTCTTTCCTCTTTAATGTACTCACTGCTTAGTTATTGATAAATCTAACAACTCCGCTATAGATTTTGACTACATGAAATATTCTTATCATTGCCACCTACAAGACATTCATTACATACATTGTGTTAATAATGAATAAACCTGTTTGATGCTCCAACAGACATCTATTGTCAGTGAATAGCTAAACCGGTTAACGTGAAATTTTCCCCTCTGAATAAAATATCCGAGCCGATGATTTGTTTAGGGGTAAGGTGTCAGTTGGAGATAAAAACAGATAATGTTTTGAAAGAGCGTAAAATATCGACAGTAAACCTTCATATAAAAATTATATATGTTAGGTTTTGAACAGAAGCAGACGAAAGCAAATCTATCTCATTTCTTTTATGTACCGTGTCCGTTCATGAAATGTGCGATCATGAGTCTCCACAGATTCTTGTCCCTTGTAATTCTAACCGATATATGTTCCTTTATAATCCCTCATCCATCATGTTCTGCTGGCGTTTAGCAGAATCCCGTTAGGGTGTCTACACGATATTTGATATGTGCTGTGAGGGTGTAGAATCAGATTCCTACATTTTTTTTTAATCTTAAATTTTGTGCAAGTTAAACACATAGAGGCTCCCAACCAAATATAACAACTGATGTATTTTGATTGGTTGTAAAATATTAATTAGGTGTCGTCAACTACGTCCGAAGGTACCGACCCAAATTTTGACCTCTAGTTGACACCATAAAATGTAAACATGTTCACGAGCCTCACCATGTTACCAAGAGAACTAATAAAAACGAAACTTCGACGTGACTTGGTCAGTGGGCACTTAAAATATTGAACCAATTCACTTGACTTCATTGGAAATCAACACAGCAAAGGAGACGAACTTTATTTTCAATACAACAACAAAACTTGTCAACTATTTCCAGGCTTAACGCTCACTCCCACAAAATATTCTATTCCACAAGAAGAATCTCTGGTTAATGAGCGATAACACTATAACAATCAGTGAGTCCAGAACAATACTTTTTTCTATTTAATACAAAAACAAAAACAACTTTTTAATTTTCCTATAACAACAAATATAGCTAACTACACCTTCTAATTTTCACACGTACAATAACTCAAATTCTTTCAGTAACACACACCAAAGAACTCTATTGTGTTTATCAACTTATGCACTATATATTATGTATTTGTTGTGTTTATAAAAATATTTATTGTTGAACAAATTCACAATTTCTTCTACTTGATTATTTCTCTTGTTGTTGTCTTTGTTACATTTGATATTGTAAAAATTGTAGAGTCAGTTTTTATTTATTGTATTTATAACCAATACAAATTGGCTGACCCACTATAAGTGTCAAATTCTCTAAACCCCTTTTCTCACAATGTGTCCAACTTTCGTTCTGATTCTCAGTACAAGATTCCTTTTGTTGACATTTTTCTTCAAACAGTTCCGACTTGGTATTCTCAGCATCATTTTTGCCCTACCAAATTCCAGTTGCCTCAAGTCTCATCTTCACGGTAGTATCACGTTGAAACACTGGTTCTTGTACGATCACCGAAGTTAAGCAACATCAAACCTGGTCAGTACATAGATGGGTGACCGCTTAGGAATACAAGGCCCTGCAATCTTGGATGGGTGGGTGATGTAATGGATAATGGTTCAGAATTTTTAATCGGAAATCCTAGTTCCGATTCCTGTTGGATCCGTTACATTCGCTTACGTGCAAATATCCTTGAGAATGTTATGAACCCACCGCTTCTCCTCCCAGCTATGGATTAATTAGTAAGACTTGTAAAAACCGTTATTATCTCCGAAAAAAATTCTTACAATTTAAAAATCTTTCGTGGCTTTAAATAACATTCAAAAGGTTGCTAAGCCGTAGAAAACGAATTAGCCAACAAATCCATCTGTGAGGATATTGATCATCATTCACTGACATATAGGAGGTTGACCACTTAAGTTCTATACTAAGCGTTTCTTTTATCGCACTTCTGGCTTTCTGCTTCCCACTCAACTTGGATCTTCAAAAATTTAAATGCAATGTCAATCGTTATCTTCGGTCTTCTTAATTTTTGTTCTTTTATTGCTCCCTCTCCTTAATAGTCCGTCCTGGGTATGACGACAAACCACATCCCCGTCCTGGGCATGACGACAAACTGCATCCCCGTCCTGAGTATGACGACAAACTACATCCGCGTTCTGGGTATGACGATAAACTACATCCGCGTCTTGGGTAAGACGATAAACTATGTCCAACAGCAAGGACACTGATAAGGAGGTTTTGAAAAGCGTGGAACCACCTCTTAAGTGCTAGTGTTCCCAGGTCCACCCTGATCCGCGGTGGTTGTACCTGTTAGGGTCCTAGCTATGGGCAAATAGTTAACCCCTTAAACTGGGGTCAAAACACTATGAAAATGTAAAAATAGGATTTAATACCAGAAATACTTTGTAAAAAAATTATTGCCAGCAATACATTATTACCAGCAATTCATTTTTGGAAAAAAAAATTACCAGCAATACATTTTTGGAAAAAAAAATTACCAGCAATACATTTTTGGAAAAAAAAAATATCACCAAACAATAAAAATTGTCGGCATTAAATAACCCATTAAGGTTGATATGCCGTAAAACAAACCAAACTAAACCAAAACTTAATAGTAGTTTTTTTTTTCATTTTCTCTAACACTCAGTAACCCCCTTTGCGTCCTAGTGGCTTTATTGCCTTTGATCTTCAAAAATTTAAATATAATGTCAATCGTTATCTTCTATTTCCTTGAATTTTCTTATTTTATCTTTCTATATGTTTCTTTCCATCACAGTAACCCCTTGCACCCTATTGGCTTTTAATAACTTGCTTGAGGGGAAATAATTAAAAAAAATATATACCACAAAATATCGGATGTTCGGTTGCCTACTACGAATGTCCAGATAGATAGATAGATAGATAGAGAAAGAGAGAGAGAGAGAGAGAGCGTGATCAGAGCGTACTTATAAAGAGAGGCGGACCTGTTCAAAACATAGTGGAAGGTCTCTTATAGAAGAGCCTGATCTGGGATCAAGTTTGCAACAGAACAAGAGATCAATCTGGATGGAGGACACCCGTTATCTAATGAAGCAAGAGGGCTGACTAAAACTGCAACGTGGAAAGTCGAACTTATTTTTTATGCTAATGTTCGCCAAATAAAAGGCCCAAGAGCCACTCAAGGTAGAGGGTTACTCTGTGGTGTTGTATAAGCGTAAGAAAGGGCAAGAAGTGAAGTTGATGGGGCTATGCAAGAAAGATATCGGTTAACCAAGACTTGGTCAAGATTGCAATGATTGGGAAAACATCCCCGCGGGAGTCTGTTCCACAAAATAGCAGTTCATGGGAAAAAACTACCCAATCGGAATTTACTTCTTACTATAGGAATACGAAAGGAATAGTGATGATTTACGCCCGTGTACATGGTATGGAAGGTCCCAGTTGTAAGAATCAGCGGTGGTGTAAGAAGATAAGCCATGTGGGAAAGAATTTGTAGGGTGAAAAATAATCCATCACCCACAAGGTCGCATAGGCACTTTTGAACTATCAAGACAGTCATGTGAGTACTGGGTAGATCCACTCCAGATATGGCAACAATATTTCATTTTTGGTCTAATCTGGCTCTTGTAAAGATAGGGTATAGCTGGGAGCGGGATATTTACCGATGCGGTACAATGAACCCAAAAATTTTCCAGCATATTTAGCAAAACATCGTTTCGATTGTGGTCTGGGGAGAGCTTGAGTCCCAATAGACAGTCAAGATATGGAGCCTGCTTGAGAGAACACCTATCTATCATTCCAGCATCTTTAGCAGTAGATCGTATATATGAGTTCTTCTTGAGATCGGCGGATAGCTTGAGTCCCGATAGACGTTCAAGGTAAGAAACACTCTTATCCATTATGATGGTCTTACTAATGGAATACGAAGGAAATGAGAATGATTCAACTCTGTGGATGGCACGTTGTGGTTCCCAGTTGTAAAGGTCAAGTCTAGTGACACTAGGGTATGTAGAGCGGCGAGAAGCTCAGAGTGTTTCGTCTTTGGAAAAAGGGTTGTAGGGTGGAAAATAATTTATTACCCACAAATCTGCGCAGATGCTTTGAACTCTATCAAGACAAGCAAGTGAGGATTGGGCAGCTCCAGTCCATATATGGCAATAATACTCCATTTTGGGTTTGATCTGGCTCTTGTAAAGGTGGGGTATCGCAGGGACCAGGGAGTCATATACTTACTGAAGTGGTACAATGAACTGATCATTTTTCCCGCATGTTTAGCAGTGGATTGGATATATGTTTCACTAGAAGTCTGGGGAGAGCTTGAGTTCCGATAGACGTTCAAGTTAAGGAACACCCTTATCCATTATGATAGGTGAAAATTCAGGGTCTGCTCGATTGTTACTAGTTTGGTTTTGGCCGTATTGTATTATACAAGCCAGTACCCCATGAGCCACCTGGGGTAGGTCAGAAGGGAGATGGACTGCTAGGTTCTGGTCTTCCAGATATTTGGGGGTGCACCTGTATACAGCTGTATCATCCGCATTGATCAGGGTTTCCTAACCAGGGGTGCGAGATCGCATTCTAGTGGGTGCGCGATAACATTTCAGTTTTTTGTTTATATTAAGGGTACTGTCTTATATATTCAAGATAAAAGTATCGAATTTTTAAAAGTCCAAATTAAAGATGGGGATGTCCTTTTTTTCCCTCTTTTCAGTAGAATAAGATTCTCTATGAATTTTAATGTGATTCGACGCGCTGTTTCTTTTTAAATGAGATCGCCGTGGACCTTTTTTTAATCGGGGATTGAAACTTAGGAAGGGTTACTGAATGAGGAATAACCAAAACGGAAGTTGGAAATGAAATGGTAATCTTTATAGCATCAACAAAATACAATACTCACCAGCGACGTGAAGTAGGTAAGCCACTGCTAGCGGTGAACTACTTAAACAGCATATTACCTCCACTTACAATAGTGTCCAACGTATTTGTGAGGGATTGGGACATACCCTTTAGTGTTCATAGCTACGGTATATAACAACATCGGGACATTTAAAATAGGGGCCAAACTTGTTTCATGTTTTGTAGCGAATTACGTTCGATTGTTATTTCATATTATTTATCAAACAAGACAAAATCTAGAAATCATTTAGGTGCACAAGCGGACATGCGGATTGCTTTCAGCAACCAAGTGCCATTTAAGCAATAAACAGGAACAAAAGAGTCATTAAATTTAAATTAGATTTGAACACTATTTCTTTAATTTTTGAAAGAAATTTCATGCATGGATGAAAATTTAATTTTTTGTAGGGTTTATGCAACTTTTAATTTGTTGTAATATTTTTTTCTTTTCCATGCATTTCATTTTTGTTTTTATATTATTAAAAAGATGATTATACTAATTTGTTCTGGTTACCTTCATCTTTATTCTTAAATAAATTATTACTTTAAGGGTGCGAAACATATTTTGTTTTCTGTCTCATTCTTAATGAGAATCGAGAGACAACATTAGAAATGTCGTACAGCAAGTTAACAAACTGAGCTGCTGCATTACTTTAGACAGAAATGCTGATTTACTCACAGAGAAATGAAGATTTGAGGTTATATTCCAGAAACAAGCTGTTATTTTTTGTTACTAATAAGAAACTAACAAACATTAAACCTAGATAAAAACTTTTATCTCTTAGTAACTAATAAGAGATAACAAAGATGTAAGTTTTTCATATCATGTTCTGTTGAAATATTCTTTTCCATAGAATTATTTCCCAAACTAATGTTTGTTTTTAATATTTAATAAAAAGAAATAAGTATAAATATTCATGAACTGAAGAAATTATTTGAATTTTATGGAAATACATTATCCAATAAAAAAAAGTGAGAAAGTAAATGAAAAATCATTTTTATAAATTACAACCGACAGTAATGCTAACAGTTTGTTCAATGAATGACAACTTTTTCCTGTATGGAAACGGTTTTTTCATTACCATTAATTGGAAAATTGGCGCCTATGAGTTCATCCTATTACTCAAGTTTATAAAGATTAAAGATCTACAGATGAGCTGAGTTTTAATCTAAAGTCGTTGGTCGGTTTTAGACTCGACATCAAATACAAGCTATAGAATTTTTAAAGAGGCAATCAATTTTTCGAATTCAAAGCCGAAAGAAGTCATCAAGAATTATTTAATTCATTTAAAGTTCATTTTTCATGGGCCTATTGAGTACTTGAGATTATACTTTGTACTGGTATCTAGATCTCAAATAATGCCTACCCCTCTGGAAGACTGGCGCAACACAATCTTCCAACTTGTGTTTCAACCAATGTGGCCTTCTGATAATTTAGTCAATTTCTATTGTGAATACCTGGGGCCTGCTGTCTAATTTCATTGTGTCTTGCACACTGACAAGAATAAATAAATAAATAATAAAATATATTTTTTAATCATTTCACCGAAAGCAAAGCGGAAATGCCACCAGTACGCGGGGGGTGGGTGGAATTAAAATGAAAGAGAAAACTAGGGATAGGGAGGATTGAGGAAAGTACAAAAGTGGAACAGGATTCAAGAAAACAGAAGATGATGATTGACGATGCATTTAAATTTTGAAGATTGA